GTTCATTTTATCCTTTCTAATTAGTCTTTTTCTCTTAGAGAGGAGCGCGAATTCCGAGAAAGACTTGGTAAACATGTGGATGTGGCATCGGCTGGTGATATGCCAGCTCATCCATCGCCTCCTAAAATGGAGCCTGTCCCTAGCGATAGGTAAACTTTGAAATATCTACTGCATTCTGTACTTCAACAATTTTTTGTGATGCATTGCGATTCTGTAAAAGCGTCTTTGTAGTGACTGTAATTTTTTGTATTGTTGAAGGAAGTGTATTCAGGTGTCGTGTTCAAGTCCGTCTTCCTGACGGCGACAACATCGTGGAGGAATTCCCATCTAGTGATTGTCTAAACACTCTAAAGGAGTTGATCAGACAGGTAAGTACCTTGACCGTAACAACAGAATCAAATGATTGTCTGTCAGGATGGCCGCGTTAGAGGTCAGTTCTCCATAGCGCAGGTTTACCCTCGCAAAGTATTCACTGAAGAAGAGCTACAAAAAACGTTCCTGGAACTGTGTCTGACGCCTACGTGTACACTGCTCGTTATTCAGGTTATTGTTGAGGATCTTGCAAACTGGCTTTCTTTATATCGTATCTCGAGTTTATTTAAAAGTGTTCAGTCCCATCCGAAAACATCCAATATTATCGCTGCCAGTCCATTTGGAGGAGTCTTCTCCCTCATCTCAATGTTGCTTATCGCACCCCTGCAGTATGTGTATGGTATGATAGCTGGATGGTTTGGATGGGGATCAGGTCAGCTACATAATTCACAATTTTCGAAAATAGCATTGCTATGTAAATGTTTGTGATTTGAAGGCTCTTCCACAACTTCGACAAATCAGACGCAGCAAGATGCAAAAAGACAACGTGAACCTCACGCTGGTGCTACAGTTCGCAGGGTTAGTTACGAACTTTAGGGTCTAATGATTTCTTTTTCTCAGTTACCTCGACCTCATCTGGCCTTGGATATTCTTTGCTATATTGTTCTTGTAATGATCATATTCAGCCGAATTTGTGCTCAGCAGGCATGATAGATTCTTTCTTTACCTATTAATAAAGTCCAGTATCCACTCCTTAAAATCAGTCATTAATGTTTTTTTTTTTTTCAACGAAAAGATTATTTTATTTTGTTTAGAGCAAATATATGCAAGTTAGATTTCAGAGAGGCAATGTGACTAGATTGCACAATCCCAATGACGACTCAGATGATGAAAACGCAAACTGGAATGGAAATTCTACGCAGTTCCTATAAAAGTGGTATCTAGAAGTGGTGCCTTTCATCTTTTCATCTCTTACCCCCTTTGTACTTGCTTCCAAAATAACTAGATGATTTTTTTT